TGTGACTCATCTTCTGCCTAGTTCTCTAAGTACATGGATTGGGTGTGGATGTTAGAAAGACCAACCGTGATTGAAAGAGGTCTTTCCAAGTGTCAGAGGTCACACAAAGGACCATCTTCTCTTTGTTGTCTTTATATCATTGTTACCCAAGCCACCATCAATGTAACGATTCTAACCCCACGGAGCTTGAGGATGTCAGCCTCAGAGCATGTGTACGAGTGTCAGAGTAAAACCTACCTATGGGGGATAAATGGCCATAGCTTCTTGGAAGGTGATAGGCTGAAACTGTGAGAGGGCAACCGGACTCTCATTCTGTGTTACAACTGAAACAAGGACCCCATGAGTATGTAATATGGAAATGAATGACTGCCACCCAAGGTGACCTGTTGCAGGGAGAGCGGGCCTTTGTTCCATCCTGGCAGACTGACTAGCTTACACCCAAAATAACCACACAGAAACTGTATTAATTAAATCACTGCCTGGCCCATTATCTCTAGCCTCTTATTGGCTAACTCTCACATATTGATTTAACCCATTTCTATTAATCTCTATATCACCACAAGGTCATGGCTTACCAGGAAAGATTCAGCATGTCTGACCTGGCGGCTCCATAGTGGCTCTCTCACTCTGCTTTTTTTCTCCCAGAATTCAGTTCTGTCTTCTCCGCCTACCTAAGTTCTGCCCTACCAACTAGGCCAAGGCAGTTTCTTTATTCATTATCCAATGAAAGCAACATACACAGAAGGAACTCCTACACCATTTCCCCTTTTCTGCTTAAACAAAAAGGAAGGCTTTAACTTTAACATAGTAAAATTATATATAAAAAACAGGTACCAAGCAAGAATTACAGTTACAATATTTATATCTGCTTTATATTTTATCATAACTAAGGGAAAACAATAACTATACCTATAAATTCTTCAACTCCATCAAAGACTCCAGAAGGATAAAATATTGCCTAAGTAAACAGGAAGTACATTGCAAGTAATTTCCAAAACTCTAGAATTGACAGAGACATCTCACTGCCTGTATAATCACCCAAAGTTTTTTTTTTTTATACCATTGGGGCATCCATCTTCAACCTACAAGCCCATAGTATCCAGCAGACTTTTTCATGAAGCAGGAAATTTCAAAGACAGCTCAGTCACTTTTTTCTGTGTCCTGTAGAATGTCTCACAGACTTTTTTATGAAGTAAAAACCCCAAAGGATCATCTCACCTTTAGGCAACTTCAGCAGTCATTTCTCTGTGGGTTTTGCATGTCCAGTAAAGCAGTTCAGCAAGAGCAGTTTTTTGCCCAAATGGCTAGCAAACTCCATAAGGAGCCTCTTTAATGCCCATCTTCCTCTTGAAGTAGCTGGTGCTGCCGGGAGCAGATGCGTCTTATTGTCATGAAAAGCCCTAAGTTATTAAAACATTTTAAATGCCATATTCTGTAGTCTTTGAAAGATATGAAAAATACCTATCTGAAATATATCTATGCACATCTAGAAAATATAACGACTACAAACTTGACTATTATAGATGATTATCTATTAACGTATATTTATTAATTATACATTACATTTTTAAATGAGCTACACAAACACAATACCTTAATCAAGATCAGAAATACATATAATATAACAAAATTGACCTTAAATTTGTATCAATAAATCAAGATTTATACCAATGTAAATTATTCATATCTATATCATATTCTCCTTTAAATGTAAAAGAACATTTATAAACAATATTTGGGAATATGGGCACATTTTTTCTCTCCAAACTGCTTCCTGCTGTATGGGGGCACTATTAATCAGGTCCTTCATGGTGTATCCTGTGTGCTAGGTTCATCTCAGTCAGCAATTGGGTAAAGCATTTTCTTTGTGGGGGTGTTCACAGCAACCTTTTAGGGGGTCTAGTTTCATGAAACCATATCGGTGTAGAAGCAATGCACAGGTTCTAATCTTCTGTGAAAACAAAAGAAGAACCTCTTTTCCAAAGCACCATATCCTTAGATCCAAATTCTGAAGTCAAGATACCTTTATAATATACATGCTGGCTTAGCTTAGCAGCACATACAATGAATTGTGTCTGTGTACTTAGCTCCTTCACAGTTAAAAATAAAAGAAAACACAAAGAAAATGCTTTGTGCTTTTAAAATGCTAAGAGCTTAAGAATCTAAGCTGTGACAATCCTAGGTCAAATACAGGTACTGCGGGTTTGCTCCACCCAGCCCATCATGGTAGAGCCACTTGTGCCTCTGAGAGCCAAGTACACTCCCCCACTTCCAAGCACAAAACTGGTCCATGTTGCCAGCAAGCAAGCTGCAGCAATCAGCTCACAAACCCCATCCAAATGCTCTGTCTCCCAAAAGAGTCAGAGGTTGTGCTGGCGGCACAGCCCAGAAACTGGTATTTCAAAACCTCCCCTTTATAGTAGACCTGATCCCACCACATACCCAGGCAGGAAGAGCCAGGCTAGGCATGGTCTCAGCAACTTTACTCCCAACCCCGAGTGGGCACACAAATACCCGGGCCCATGAAGTTATGCTCCCTCCTGGCATCTCACAATGGGGAAGCCAAGATTAGCACCTGGAAATAATCTAGAAAAGGGCTGAGGTGACTCAGGAAAATCAGAGAGGACATGTGCACATAATGTACCCAACACATAATGTAGTCTTGAAACCCTCCACAGGAAGAGGGAGCTTACAGTCCTTTCAAGAACACACAGGTCACCTCTTCCCCAACAATGAGCACATGAAACATAACTGCTCTTGGGCTTCATTCCTGGAGAATTAATTTGACTGGTGACAGTAGTGATAAAGCACCGATCTTCATCCCTAGTCATCACTCAGCTGATCGCTTTCCATTCCTCAAAGACATTTCTGTCTCCTTCCTGCAGTGATTATGTAAATACCTCATTCCATGAGCATTGAGAACACAGGGTAGACTGGGTGCTCAGCGTGGTCGCTGTGTCATAAGGACACATAGACAATGATGGAGGCTCCCTCTTTGGTGCTGACAGACCCAAGGCAAGGACACAACAGGTGTCATCCCTAGGATGAGCCATTGTTCTCTGAGGGCATGTGAATGCTTATCCGCATTGTTGCTCAATGACTTGCTTGATGGAGAAACATAAAGGGAAGTTGAGAGGCATGCTGTGGGGTAGCACTGAGAGTGGAAGGACTTGAGCAGTGCCTTGAACTCAAACCCTACCACTTAAAGCCCATTGGATTCTGGAAAGTGCTCCTGTCTGAGAAGAATCTCATCCCAGAAGGAGGAAGAACAGCAGAGCCTGAGTTTTGTGTTGGAGCTGAGACTGTTCTCAGAGGAAGAACAGCGAGTGAGATTAATGGAGGAGTCCACTGTGCTCCTCTGCAAGGGGAGTACTCCTTGGCAGGGGCTTCTGCTCACAGGTAAGGGTACCCACTTTCTCAGTGTGTGTGGCACTTCTGCTCACAGGTAAGGGTACCCACTTTCTCAGTGTGTGGGGGGACTTATGCTCACAGGTAAGTGTACCCACTTTCTCAGTGTGTTGGGGACTTCTGGTCATGGGTAAGTGTACCCACTTTCTCAATGTGTGGGGGAATTTCTGCTCATGGGTAAGGGTACACACTTTCTCAGTGTGTGTGGGACTTCTGCTCAAAGTTAAGGGTATCCACTTTCTCAGTGTGTGTGGGACTTCTCTCACAGGTAAGTGTACCCACTTTCTCAGTGTGTGGGCAGGGCCTCTCAGTGGTAGCCAGGAGTCTGATAAAGAGGACAGGATCTTGGGAGGAGACTCAAGGTGTCTGTTTTTAGTTAAGGTGCTGAGGGTACAGTGAGGGACAGGGGCTCAGCAGCTTGGAGTTCTCAGGGGACAGGAGGTGATAATATTAAGAGAAAAGGACACCACATTCATAGTGGATTTTATTGACTGCACTGTCCTTAAGACAGCCGTTTTCAACCATTACAGCATGACCTTTCAAATAGAAATCAAATTGGTGGGTTAGCAAGATGTTTCAGTGTGTAAAGATTTGACAACCTGAAAACAAATCTTAGCTCCCACACAGTAGATGGAGAGAACAGACACCTGCAGGCTCTACCCTGCCCTCCACATTGGTGCTGTGTCAAGTACCCACACATGTATAGTCTAACACATGTGCCCCCATACAGATTTGTGACATCCATATTTATATTTGCCCAAGGAGTCAGCAACCTTCACAAATACACACATAAATTCATGAAGTGTAAATTCATTTATTTATTTTACACCTGAATATAATTATTGCCAAAAGCTCCAAACCTAGGACTTATGAAGAAAAAATCAATGGAGACACATTTCTCTTTCCATCCTTCCTTTTTTCTTTATCTACTTGTATTTTGGTCATTTTCAGGAACAGAACCTCCCAAAATGTTTAGACTAATCCTGCCCTTACAAATTCCTGGTTTTGCTAGGCAGTGGTAGTTCAGCCTTGGGAATACAAGACTTGGGAAGCAGAGTAGATGATTTCTGAGGTTTGATGTCCAGCCTGCCTAGAGAACAAGTTTTAGGACAGCCAGCGCCACAAAGAGAAACCCTGTCTCAAACAAAAAACAAACAAAAAACAAAAATAAAACCCTGAAACTAAAACAAAAACCAAATCCAAAAACAAAAACAAAGAAACAAACAAAAAGCACTGCTTTTAGTGTATCTGATGTCAGTATGTCTGATGAAGTCATGAATTGACGAGAATCACAAAGGGAACAGACACAAAATCAGAACATGAACTCTCCAGAAGAGGAAGTCAGAGCAGCATTGCTCTTCACACGAAGTATACTGTATAAGGAGGGATATGGGACACTGAGTGGGAAACAAGGCAGACACATGAGCAGATAATTTCTAAGAGAGTTACTGACACACTCAGACACTGAAGGGAATCAATGGAAGTCATGCTGCTCATGTCCTCAAAGGAAGTTTGGCACAGCCCTACTCACAAAACAAAGCTGAGTGATGATCACACATGCCTTATATTGGTTTTTCTCAATTCCCTTCTAGTCTCCCTTTTAAGCTCCTGGCATCTGTCCACAAATGCCCATATGACTATTGAAAAAGTGCCAGCCCTAGCTGCTGAAGGAGATGACATCTTTTTCCATGTCAATGATCTGCCAGAGAATACTACAACCATAGCCTGGTTCAAAGGTCTAAGAAATACAACACAAGGAATTGGAGCAATTGCACCGCTCTTAAATTTGAGTAGGCCAGGTCCTATGTACAGTGGTAGAGAGACAATATATCGCAATGGATCCCTGCTGATAAAAAATGTCAACCCGACGGACACCGGATTCTATACTCTACGAACTTATAATAGTCATGGAACTAGGACATCAATAACATCCGAGTACCTCAAAGTGCACGGTAAGTGATTCACTGTGAACTCTGTGAGCTAGGTGAGGTTCATTTCACTGGACACATACAGAAGAGTGGTCTGTGCCTAACTTCCCTATTCACTGTGTCCCTGTGTTGGGGTTTGAGCATTTGGCTCAGTATACAAATGATGTACAATAATAGCAATAGATCAGAATGCTTCATTTGACTTTATCTTGTACACAGGTGGATGCATGGTGGGTAACACAGCCAAGGATATCAGGCTCTGTATAGACTCTAGGGATTCTTACCAGGAATGTTTCCTTGAGAAAAACTCTGAGGGAATCAATGTTGTACTTGGTTGTGGAAAACATGGGATCCTCATAGAGGTGTGAGCACTAGCATGCTCTGCCTTCAGACTTCTGTCTCAGACACAACTTCAGGTGTCCATGAGAAGCATTTTATTTTTTTTTCCATTTTTTTTTATTGAGAAAAGAAAAAAAAACAAATTTCCTCCTCCTCCCAGCCTCCCATTTCCCTCCCCCTCCTCCCACCCTTCCCACCCTTCTCCCCCTCCTCCCACCCTTCTCCCCCTCCCCCCACTCCTCTCACCCTCCCTCTCCAGCCCAAAGAGCAGTCAGATTTCCCTACCCTGTGGTAAGTCCTAGGTCCTCCCCCCTCCGTCCATTTCTAGGAAGGTGAACATCCAAACTGGCTAGGCTCCCACAAAGCCAGCACATTACGTAGGTTCAAAACCCCGTGCCATTGTCCTTGGGTTCTCATCAGCCCTCATTGTTCGCCATGCTCAGAGAGTCCAGTTTTATCCCATGCTTTTTCAGTCACAGTTCAGCTGGCCTTGGTGAGCTCCCAATATATCAGCTCCACTGTCTCAGTGTGTGGGTGCTCCCCTCGTGGTCCCGACTTCTTTGCTCATGTTCTCCCTCCTTTTGCTCCTCATCGGGACCTTGGGAGCTCAGTCCAGTGCTCCAGTGTGGGTCTCTGTCTCTGTCTCCATCCATCACCAGAGGAAGGTTCTATGATGATATGCAAGATATTCGTCAGTATTGCTATAGGAGAAGCATTTTATAAGTGTTTTGAATTCCTGATGGCAGAGGGCAGCAGTGTTCCCTAGTATGTAAAGTGTTGTGATGTGTGGAACTAGACAGTGTATTCTCCTGAGAGCCTTGGTTGGGCTATATTCCTTGGCCAACTTCTTCAGAGAGTCAGCATGGAAATCATAGGTCAATAGCTGTCTAGGCCATTAACTAACTGTCTTGTTGGGCATATGAGATTTCACATTAAAGTCATGGTCCCTAAGGAGGAGGACTGAGAACACAGATTGTCCTGAAAAGTGTTTGTCTCCTGGGTCCAGCTTGGGGAATTCTCTTGGGAAATGGCTATTTTCGAGACAGGAGCTACAGTTCTGCCAGTGATCACCAGAGATGTCATCAGGACACACAGTGAACTGGCAGAAAAGTATGTGCCCTAACCAAGAACTTACGTTGTAGTCTTGTTTCATCCCTGCTTGTACAGACCTGGAAATCATGGTCACAGCGTTCTTAGACCTACTGACTGCTTAATGTGTCTGCTACATTGCCAGGAGATCATGTTCTGTTTTTCACTTTTTGTATTTCCTTTGGGAAATTCATGGTATCCAAGGGGAATCAACTATATAGAGGTCCAAGGCCTCTCAGAAAGACCATGGAGCACAGGGGCAGACCCATTATACAGTTCAACAAACAGAGGATGTGGGAACATGGTCTTGTTCCCACAAAATGGACAATTTTGCACAGGATGAAGGATCTCAGAGCCTTTTTCTGGAGTCAGGTCATCTCCTCCCATACACCCAAGATGTGAGATTCTTGACAAATCTTGGGCCTTTGACCTCGGTCAGAACCCAGTCTGATGGTGACTCTAGTAAGAACAATTTTGTTCTTTTCCCCACACATCACTCACCTGGTACCTTTGTACTTCAAGGGCAGTTTTGTTCTCTTCCTGCTGGGAGCAAATTCCATGTTTCCAGAGCAATGAAAACACAGGGAAGACTGGGCACTATGCCAGGTTTCTTTGCCACACAGTTGCGCAGATTTTCCCTTTTTTGGTGCTGACAAGCCTAGGCCAGGACATAGGAGTATGCAGTTCTAGGGTCAGCTTCTATTATCTCATGTTACAGGAATGGTCCTTGCCCTTGATTCTCATTCTGTTCTAGAGGAGAGAAACATAAGGAGAGAATGGGAAAAGAACATGGGGTAGCACTGAAAGCCATGCTTTGAACACAGACCCACCCTCAGCCCAAGGGAATATGGGAGATGCTCTTTCCTGGGAAGAGGCTCAACTCATATGGGATATGGGGAAAGGGCAGCAGAGTTTAGGAGCTGAGCTGGAGCAGAAGTACCTCAGAGGGATGACAGATAAGTCTATGTAGATAATGAAGGCTTCCTCTGTACTCCTCTTCAAAGGTGTACCACATCACAGGTCACAGATGAGGAGACCAGGACTTGAAAGTGTTTGAGAGGGAGAGTACTGACATTTTATCTGGGGTTCCCTGAGTGGCACAAGGACATGAAAGCAGTGCCAGTGTTTGTAAGGGGAAGATACAGAGTGGGAGAGAGGTTCAGGATTATGATGCTCTCATTGAATGTTAAAAAGGGAGGGTGCTACCTTAATCTTGCACAAAGTTAGTAAACATGGCCACAATATTCTGAAGACTGGTGCTCTCAGCTTGACTGCCAAAAAAATCAAGCTGGTGTGGATCACTGACATGGTTCCCTGGATATAAGTCTTTGCTTCATTGTCTAGCAAGCTGAGACCAATGAACAGAAGTCCTTTGACGGCCACTTAAGTACTGTGTCCTGACCCTCCCCCCATGACAAGCCCTTTCACTATTCACACACTAGTATAACCTGTAAACAAGTGTGAAAAATTAAAGCAAACGGAATTACTAATACTGTATTCCTAACCTTTGAGTTTCTTTTTTTTATTTTATTTATTATGTATACAATATTCTGTCTGTGTGTATGTCTGCAGGCCAGAAGAGGACACCCGACCTCATTACAGATGGTTGTGAGCCACCATGTGGTTGCTGGGAATTGAAATCAGAACCTTTGGAAGAGCAGGCAATGCTCTTAACCACTGAGCCATTTCTCCAGCCCACCTTTGAGTTTCTTAAAGTCCATATCTATATAGGGTTCTGAGACATCATTCACTCATTCTATTTCCCCATGAATCTGAGTTTTTTTCTAGGCATCATTTTTTTTAAATTTAAAAAAAATAGAAGAAATAGAAGAAAATTTATGATGTCTCAGTTTGAGTGGACCTGAAGTAAAGAAAGCCAGAAGGGAAATTCAGATGTTGACTGCAACCTCAAGAGGAATAGAACAACAAAAGTAGGAGTGAAGACAGAGAGTCTGTAAAGGAAGAGGTTGGACAGCCATCACCCCAACACCAATCCACTTCATATGAGATCAGGGATCAAAGCACTGCTTTCAAGTCCTTGTGCCACTCAGAGCAGGGCAGTAAGCCAGAGCACTGATGACAACTGGAGAGAGGCATATAGTGGAAATCACAAGTGGGAACACTGAGAATATGAAGATCATGTGCTGACATCCACCAAGTAGAATAGGGAGATAGTCACCAACAAAATTAGGCTGAGCAATAGACACAGCTGCTCAGGACACAGGGCCTCTTTCTAGTTAAATACTAAAGGCTCAACTTAGGAGGATCTCTCTCTTCCCTTCTAGCTTTCGTTTGGAAGTGTGGGCGCCTTGGTACCTCTTCACAGTTCACCATTGAATCAGTGCCACCCAGCGTTGTTGAAGGGAGAAATGTTCTTCTACTTGTTCGTAATCCCCCAGAAAATATTGTAGAGTTTGTCTGGTTCAAAGGAGTGGTTGACTTCAAGAACATTTTGGGTATCCGAAATATAGCAGACAGGAAACCAACTGTATGGGGACCTGCATACAGTGGTAGGGAGAGGCTGTACAGTGATGGATCCCTGCTGCTTCATGGTGTCAGTCAGAAAGACCGTGGATTGTACACACTACGAATCCTGAGAGCAGATACAGGAAACGAAGAGGCACTTGTGCAACTCCAGGTGGAGAGTAAGTGATTCTCTTAGATTGTTCGGTGCTGGGTGGGGCTTAGACACACATGGCTTAGCCTCCCTTCGGTTTGCACTGTCTTCCCAGGTGGAAGTTTGAGTACTTAGTGTATGACACCCATAGAGACAAATTACTGTAGATCAGCTTTAGTTTTCTGACTCCACCTGCAAAAAGAAAAAACCTGGAAAGTGAAAATTTTGGGGCCTGTTGAGTTCAGGGCAGGCGTCATCTCAACCCCATGTCTAGGAGTGTGTGTAGTATTTTATTGAAGACGGTGAGGGAAAAGCTATGTAGACACCCAAGGGGGACAGTTCCATTTAGAGGATCTGACACTTTCAGGGGCACTTTTGGAAAGGAGGAGGTCATGTTTGTGCCCTTCATTAAGGGGCATAGACATATACCCACCTGCAAATATAGGCTGATTGATGAATCCATCTGCTTAAGCACAGTGATGACTTTTTTCTCTTTTCCCTCCCAGCTTACCTTTCTGTGTCCTGTAATCCTCTCACTTCTTCCCAACTCATGATCCAGCCATTGCCTCAGTATCCTGCTGAAGGTGAAAGCATATTTCTTCAAGTTCATAATCTTCCAGAAGACGCGAATGCCTTTTTCTGGTACAAATCAAAGAATAGGACGCCAGTCCTTAGAATTGTAGAATATGTCAGAACCATGCATTCTGTCACTTGGGGACTTGCACACAAAAGAAGAGGAATGGTGTACTTTAATGGATCTCTGGTGCTCCACAATGTCACTGAGAAAGATGCAGGAATGTACACACTAGAAGTTTTAAACAAAAATTTCGATATTCAAAAAGCATATGTGGAATTTTCTTTAAAGAGTAAGTGATTCTCTATGGTCTCCAACTGCTGGGTGTGGCTTGTGCTAACTTCATACACTGAACTGTCAGGACTGGGCTGTGCCTCCTCTTCCACCACTGCACTGTGTCTCCCACTAGAGTTTGGGTCCCTACTGCAGGACACACATTGTTTAGACAAACTGTAATAGATCAGAACACCTCCCCTACAGAGAGGAGGGCATGCACTGGGTAAATTCAGTCCCAGGATGTCAGTTCCAACCCAGACACTTGGATCTCTCATCTTGCACATGTCCCCAGAAATACTCCATGGGAGTCAGGCAGGCCCAGGCTGATGAAGTCATGGGGTCCTCACAGAGAGCACCATGAATCCCTGATTCTAAAACTTTGCCCGGGATTGGATACAGTATGATATTGGGGAGGTTGTTTTTGTAACTGTTTGTTTAGATTTTCTGTCAGAGACAACATGAAATGTGACTTTACTGATTGTATGAGTCATGGGACTGACTACCCCATAGAGTGTCGAGTCAACTGTATACTACCATGACAGCTGTAGTTAGGTAGGTCACCAGTGCACCTCCTTCTCCTGAGGCTCAGTAGACAAGTATCTGGTCCATGAAAAGTCAAGGCACCAAGGAAAGAAACAAAGGAGGCAGTTACTCCAGATTCTTCCTTCACTTCAGGGGCCCAGCCTAGGGAATTTCTTTCTGCAGGTAAATAGAACAGATGTTGATGATATGAGGAGTTCCCCATCCCAAGGTCAGACCATGGCTTGTAACTAAGCTTAGCTCACAGACATGGTCATGTTCAAGCACTGTGTGTCCTATTATTGGGAAATGGAGATATAGGAAACAGTGCTTGAATCAGGCAATACAGTCCCTGGGTGGCAGATTAAAAGCACAAAATATGTCTATAGTCACAGTACAAAAATTTTCCCACTGGTAGCTTTATAAATATGAACTAAAGAGGGCCTGGTTGAACTCTCTGGACGACTCCCATTTAGTATTCTCCTCTGTTTCTTCACAGAGAATGTGACACAGCCCTTTGTGCAAATCACCAACACCACAGTCGCAGAACGTAGATCTTTGATCTTCACTTGCATTTCACCCGACACCGATGTCTCCATCCGTTGGATCTTCAATAAGGAGAATCTGCAGCTCACAGAGAAGATGACTCTGTCCCCAACAAAGTGTGGACTCAGAATAGATCCTGTCAGTAGCACGGATGCTGGAGAGTATCAGTGTGAGGTCTCCAACCGATTCAGTTCGAAGACCAGTCTCCCAGTCTCCTGGCCGTGATGAATGAGTGGCCTCTCCTCTCATCCTACAGCAGGGTGGGGGCATTCGTTTATCAATGGAGTACAAAATGGAGAAGAGTTATGTGGTGAAAATGATTAGTTTCTTACTATTCAGGTTCAGCCAGCCTGGTGACTCACCTCTATAATCGTGGGATACACGTGTATACAGGGGAAGGCCAAGAATTAAAGTGAGGTTGTCTTAAAAGGAAAATAAACACATTAATCTAGGAAACAAAAATTCAAAGGCCTGAAGAGCTTAGATTGCTGTTGAAATATATATATATATATATATATATATATATATATATATATATATATATTTCCCTCAAAATTCATGGGAACTAATTTCAGGAATCCTCAAGTTTTTGTAGGCTCTGAGTCTGCTGTGAAAATGGTGCCCTGTTTTCATTGGGAAAAATATCTCGTATGCTCAAATACATTCCCTGTTTACCTAATTTACCCAAGCCCAGTGCTGCCTGAAGTGAGGAAGAATGACAGGAGAAGGGTCTGCCCGTGTTTCACTGTGGACATGGCTGGTTTCTAAACAGCTTTGATTCCATCTGCTTGATGTACAGATGTAAAATCCTTCATGTAAGTGCAGCTCATACAGTTTTCACCCTGAAATTATCATTCACGGTAGGACCTTGAGTCTTTTTCTTGTTAGCATGCCTCTCTTTCCCTTTTTATTCTTCTCTATATATTACATACTGATCGCAGTTTTCCTCCCTTATCCCTAAATCCTACTTACTCTCTACCTCAGGCCCACTCATCTTCTGTTTCCCTTCAAAAACAAGCAGGCCTCCCAGGGATACCTACAGCACATAACTCTGTAAGTTATGTAAGAATTGCCACCATTCTTCGTATTAGAGCTGGGAGAGACAGCTGAGTAGGAAGAAATGGGTCCAGAGGGCAGGCAAAAGACTCATACCCATCTTCACTCCTACAACTTCTATGCTGATACCCTCGCTCAAACCCAGCCAAAATCTAGGATTATAACTTCAGTCTCTCAATCCTCTGTAAGCCCTGCCTAATTGTTTCTGTGTTCCATGCTTTCATGGTATCCTTAACACCTTTGTTTCCTATAAACCATGCTTTCCCATTTCTGTGGGGTTGCCCAGTGTTTCCATGTTTGGCTATATTTCTCAGCATCTGTTCTCAGCCATTCATTGCTGCTCTAATAACTATTAGGCTGTGTAGTTATCTACTAGTGTAACAGAATATCTTTATTAATAATTTTATTGAAATGTTTTTACATGCATCTTTGTGATTTTTTTCCTGAATTTCTGGGTTTTCAAGCCTCTGTTTCCTGACCATCCAGGCAGTGTCAGGTCTGAGCTCCCTTTCATGGAGTAGGCTTTAATTTTGACCAGTTATTGGTTGGTCAATCCCACAACTTCTTTTCCACCATTATCCCCAGTATATATTTCAGGAAGGACAGAATGCAGGTTGGATATTTTGTGGCTGGATTAGTGTCCCAGTCCCACTACTTGAATTCTTCTGTGGTTGTAGAAATGACTGATTCAGGATACCTATCCCTCACTACTAGGAGTCTTTATTAGTGTCTCTTTTGTAGATTCCAGGGAGTTTCCACTGTAGTAGGTTTCCACATTGCTCCCCAAATACCACACTGTTCCAGTTATTACTTCAAATACTCTCTTCTTCCATCCCATCTTCCCCCATATAGCCATAAAATCATTTCTATTCTTCTTCCCAGTGTGTTACATGGGTTCAATATGAGTCTTCTTTGTTACTTAGCTTCCCTATGCATGTGACAAAGTAGGACATATAATGGGTTGTGTGCAATAGTAGCTTACAGTAGTAGAGCTCAGATGAGTGTGTTTGCTCACCAGTTCCAGAAACTTCTGTAGAATCTTTCAGATTTTTAATAGATAAGCTCATGCTATCTGCAGATCTATTTTATAGTCAGTTAATTGTCCAATTTTTATTTATTTGTGTTGCCTAATGTTATGTCTATGGCATCAAAGAGAATACTGAATAAAAGTGGTCACTTCAGCATCCTTGTGTCCATCCTGGATATCTTAGAGGATGTCAGTGTCTTCATTGAGTACTGGGTTGACAGTGGTTTTTCTTGTGTGCCCCTAATGCTCTGCCCTCTCTTCTACCCCTGGTTTGTCTGTTTTCATCATTTAAAATTGTTCATTTTGTCATATATCTTTATTGATTCAGACTTAGGAGTTATTCATGGAATAATTTTTGTGTTTTTTCAAGCTTCTATCTCTGTAGGTTCTGTGTTTCTAGGTATGTGTCTGTTTCATGTAACTTACTCTACAAATTACTCCCATCACTCTGAGCAGTCATAGAAATTTTGATAATGTGAAAAATAGATAGCAAGGTATCAAATTTCAGGTCTAGTGTTAATGATGTTTCTATTTTTAAAAGAAAGTTAATCTAATTTAAGATTGTTAATGCTAATAATCACTTTGAAAAAATGAACTTTTTTCCTTTTATTGAAAATAGATTCTTTTCTTTTCTTTTTTTAACTTTTTTTTATTGAGAAAAGGAAAAAAAAAGTATCCTCCTCCTCCCAACCTCCCATTTCCCTCCCCCTCCTCCCACCCTTCTCCCCCTCCCTCTCCAGTCCAAAGAGCAGTCAGGGTTCCCTGCCTGTGGAAAGTCCTAGATCCGCCCCCCTCCGCCCATGTCTAGGAAGGTGAACATCCAAACTGGCTAGGCTCCCACAAAGCCAGTACATGAAGTAGGATCAAAACCCCGTGCCATTGTCCCTGGCTTCTCATCAGTCCTCATTGTTCGCCATGTTCAGAGAGTCCGGTTTTATCCCATGCTTTTTCAGTCACAGTCCAGCTGGCCTTGGTGAGCTCCCATTAGATCAGCCCCATTGTCTCAGTGGGTGGGTGCACCCCTTGTGGTCCTGACTTCCTTGCTCATCTTCTCCCTCCTTCTGCTCCTCATTGGGACCTTGGGAGCTCAATCCAGTGCTCCAGTGTGGGTCTCTGTCTCTATCTCCATCCATCACCAGATGAAGGTTCTATGGTCATCCAATATATACCATTTATCATTTCCTCTCTCTCAGCACTTTGCATTCCTACCCACTTCCTATATCATGGGAATCCACTTCATTTCTTTCTCTTATTAGAGAAGAATAGGCCTCTAAGAGATAATAACAAAACATCACAAAATAAAATATAATAACATGAAACAAAAACTGCCATGTTGATGTTGGGCTCTGCAACTCAGCATGAGCAAAAGAGTCCCAAGAACAGACACAGGAGTCAGAGTCTCGCTTATTCTCAGAGTCAGGAGTCTCATTAAATACTCAGCTAATAAGCATATAATAATTGAAAGGGACCTCTTGCCAATTTGTACAGTCCCTGTTCATGCTTATCTGATGCAGAAAACTTTTCTCTGAAGATTAGACCTTATAGCACTTGAAGATTCTATGTAAGCTGGCAACAAAGGAAGACAATAAATTGTTCTTCCAAGTTGTGATTCCTACAGATTACAGCATAGATCAGCATGGCAAGATATACTTCAAACATCCATAATTGTACAGTATGATTTCCCCATGTGCAGAGCAAGGAAATGAGAAAGGATGTCTGGGGATATGGCTCAATGAGTAAGTACACTTTTTCCTCTTCCAGAAAACCCGAGTTCAGTTCCCAGTACCAATGTTGGCTTCTCAACCAACCTTCTGTAACTCCATCTCCAGGGTATTCTACAAAGTCCCCTGTCATAAGAAGGCTCCTGAACACAGTTTATACAGAAACATATGCATATATAAAATAAAATAAATCTAATAAAATTAAAATGAGAAAGAGATGGCCCAGGCATTCTAGAGGTAGCATGTAGAGAAGGTATCTCCTACATACAAAATGCTCTTAATTGTGAGTACCCCTGAAAGTAGTTGGATTGAACCATAGAGATACCTAAGAATACAATCCCATACAGGGTAAATGACTTGTTTCATGAGCACTATTTGAAATGAGGTCATGCCACATTGCTTCTCTTCACCAGTTTCTGTAGAGCTACCCAGAAACTCCCACAAAAGCTATGGGATGAACACATACCTGCTTAGGTTAAGACCCAGTGTTCCATGAAATACAAAGCGACCAAGATTCCTCTCTTTTCTATCTAGCTTCAGTTTTCATTTATTTTATTTTATTTTATTTTTTTATTTTTTATTTTTTATTTTTGGAAATGAGACAGGTCATTTTTTATTCAGTAATTCCATGTGATTTGTGGAGACAGTGGGGAATGTAGGATAAACACATGACACATTACTCAGAGATTTTACTTCAAATGGCCACTGATCTATGAGCAGGTTCAAATCCCTCTTCTGCCTCAAGTTATTTTCACATGTTCTTCATCACAATACAAATAAGAAAAAAATATTGACAGGAAGGCTGTTACAGGACATGCCCTGGAAGATTATGCTGTGTCTTGAATGCATTATATAAATATCTTAATTTGGCCAAAGTGAGCAGGTTAATTATTGGACAGTGAAGACTTAAGCCATTGTTAGTGAGATTGATACCACGTGAAAGGGCCCTGAATGCAGTGTGTGACTAGTTGCCCTTTGACTTCTGCTGTGTAAGAAGAGCACAGTGAGGAGACCCTCAGCTAGCCAAATGATATCCCCTTGTAGACTTCCATTTCAAATAGTGAGAAACAAATTTCTTTTTCTTCTATAATACCTTGTCAGGATCTTTGGAACAAAATGATCAAAAGGGAACCCAGATACTAGCAACAAATTCTTAAGCAGAAAAAAAAAGACATTTTTATTTTTAAAAGAATTTTATAAGATTTGCTGATGTTCATGAGTGTTCTGCCTGCAGGTGTGTCTGTGTACCACCTGCATGTGTTGTTTGCAGGGTGCAGGAAAAACATTATATTACCTAGAATTGGAGTTAAATGTTATGGTATACCATCCTGAAGGTGTTGGAAATTTATTCCATGTCCTCTGAAAGAGCAGCCAGTTCTCTTAACCAAGAAGCTTTCCCTTCAACTCCTGGCCTTTCTTTC